CTTTCATTCTAAATTATGATTTAATTTATTTTCATTTATTTTAATTAAATGATGATAATATTAAGATATTCATTATCAATATCAGTAAGTTATTTTTATATTGATGTTTTTTATTATTGAATTACATTCTATTTTCTATGATTGATTTAACTTTCATTTTAATATATATTTTAGTTGTTTATTTTATTCTATGTGATATTTTAATATTATTAATGTATTCTTTATCATTATTTACTTTATTATTTATTACTTTTATTATGCTTTCTATTTGTTTCCATCTTATTTTCTTATTTAATTTATTATTTAACAAAATAATTGCAAAACAATACAACACATCAATTAAAATTCTATTTGTTTGATTTTGTGTGTTTTCTTCTCTTCTTGACTGATTATCATTTCTTGTTTTTGGTATTCAGTGTTTTGTTCTTTTATTTCTAATATTATATTTTTCATAATGGTAGTTTTGTTCATTTGTATTGTCCATGATGTTCTTAATATTTGTTGTTTAATTATCAGTAGTGTCATTGTTTTATTCTTCTCTAGTTCCTTCTGTGATTACTTCTTGGAGAATATTATACAATTTCTTTATCTTCTTATTTTTTATGTATTTCTTTGTATTCTCATTTCTCATTTTCACTTCCTATTCTTTTATTTTTCATTTCAATTTCATTTGTTGTTAATAATTTAGGTTTCTTATGTGTATAATGTTTATTATCATTATATTTACTTTGTTTCTTATTTGTTTTTCTTTGTATTCTTCTTTTTCTATTCACTTTTCTCTTGTTATTTCTTTTACCATTATTATTATGCATTTTATTGCTATTTCATTCTTTCTTTTCTTTGAACTTGAATATTGTTGTTTGATTTTCATTACAAGATTCTATCACATTACTCAATAACCATGGTAACAAAATTTGTTGTGTGTTCTGAGTTGACAGATCCAATTGAAATAATTACATCAATAACTAGAAAGTATCATAAAGAAAGAAAAAATATAAATATACAATATCCACTACATTATATAACATTAACAGAGAGTTCAATTATAATTACTTATAACAAGAAATTATTTTCAGCAAATGATATTAAATTTATAATATGAGATAATAATATTTTAAATATATTAAACAAAAGAAAACACCCATTATTGATATAATTATAGTACAAATGAAAATATAACAAAAAAAGGAGAGTTATGGATATATCTACAATTGGATTTTCTTCATATTGAGAAGTTATTACTTCAGGTTCTTCAATACACTCTTCATCTATATAGAATTTGTTTCCAACATGCTCGTAATACAATGCCCTTCTTCTAATGTACTGCCAGAGTTAAATGAAAATATTACAAAAAAAAAATATTTAAATAAAAATATATAAAATATCACAAGCTAAGAAATATAAAGATGAGATAAGCAGAAGTCATTCCAGTTGTGATAAGCAGTGTTTGATTTATTCATAAACTATCAATAAAAATAGAAAGAAATAGAAATTGATAAATACATAATAACAATATTAAGAATAGTACAAAATAAATGAAAAATATAATAATTAATTATTTATGATTGCAATTGTAATGATATAAACACAGAACCTAGGACAACAACAAAAGACTCTAATAATAAAGAGAATAATGAAGAAACTAATAATAATATTGTAGCCTCTGAAAATAATGAAAACTTGAATGTGCAAGTAAGTATCATTAATTAAATTATTCTTTTTTATGATAATTCAAATTTTCATTTTATTAAGAAATAAACAACAGAAAATAAATTTTAATAAAAATGAATGAGATAGCATGTTTACTTTAACAGTAATTTTAATACTAGTGCTATTAAAATGATGTTTACTGATAATAGTATGACAATAAACTTCTTTAATTGTTTTATCATATCGATAGTTTTTTGGTTTTGGGTGAAAGTGATATTCTTGATTCTTGCCTCCACTTGGTTTAACTCTTCTTTTAGTTCATCTACTTTCTTATATTTTTCATCAACAAAATTTTGGGTACTTATATTACCCTGACAATCATTCTTTAATCTCTCACTGTTGTTAGTCTCAATAGAAGAAGTAAGGACCTCTTCTTTTAGTTGTTTTCCATCATTAATACATTCACTTTGTTCTTTCAATAATGTTTTAATATGATATTCATCTTCATAATCTCCAAGTTCTTTGTCAGGATTGAGCTTTGAATTATTGAAATCAACATATCTCCATCCAAGAAATGAGTCTTTAACAAAATATTTTGGAATATGAACAGTTCCTTCTGCCTCATGTTTTCTAACTTCTTCTCTTTGTGCTTCTTCAAGGACACACTTCTCTTCAGTAGCAGTTATTTGGTCTCCCTTATAAATGGCGTTAGTAACTTTAATCCATAATTTATCACTTTCCATCTTACCTTGTTGGTTCATGTCAATAGTGTATCTTGGTACACTCTTTCCCCTAATGTTATCAATCTTTAATAAACTTTTCTTTACTTTATCTCTGCCACAATAAAATAGTTCTTTATAATAATTTCCCCATATTTTATAAACTTCTTCCCCATTTTTAGTTATTTTAGCATCTACTGTTTGATATTTATCAGAAGAAAATGTACCTCGAAGATTAAAAATTACTTCCGCTTTATACCCAGTTTTTTTACACTCAAATACTGATTTACCTGCAATTTCCATTAACATTGGACCAACAAAAAATCCACTGGCAAGTGCTTCAGGGAATGTCATAGTATAATGTTCATTAAAATTTAATAAATATATATCAATTTTACCTCCAAGAATAATTGAAGCACTTAGTCCATTAAATTTAGTTGAAAACTCAATATATCCATTTCCCATCCATCCTTGTTGTCTATTTGTTGCATAAAAAGCAGATACTGGAGGGTGATGACTGACTTGTTCTCCAAGTAAATAAGATCTACTTCCATCTTCATGTTTCCACATAGTTCTAAATGTTTCACCAAGAATTGGGTTATAAGGTTTCTTAATACCAGTCGGCATTAAATAGAATCCACTTAATAACCATTTAACTAAACCAAGCATTCTTAGTCCAGGATCTGGTTCTTCACTTATTGGTTTAAAGTATTGAATATGAGCAAAATAATCTGTTGTTTTAACTAAGAATGAACGTGGTTCAAGGATGTGTGATGGAAAAGTTATTCTACTCAAATCCATTCCTGGTCTGACTTGTTTTAATAATTCCCAAATAATTGATTTGCCTTCTTCAGTAGCATCAAAAAATTCTTTTAAATCATTTTGTGCTAATACGTAATGAGATAATGATTGTTGAAGAGAGTTATTAGTAACAACTTTTTCTTCTTTAAATTGTTCCTCTTTTTGTTGTTTTTTTGTATCTTTTATTTCATGAACGTGTTGAACTTGTTCTATTTGTTTTGCTTTTAATACATTTATTTGTGATAAACTACTTGATGGAGATAACGGTTTAACTTTTTTAAGGTCTTCTTCATTATATGAATGTAAGTTTATATTAGAAGTTGACTTAGTTACCTCAAACGCTTTAGGAGGTAAACTTGGTTTAATTTTTGAAGAAGAATCAAGTTGTTCTCTAAGAGTATTAATTGGTTGAGTTTTATATTTTGTTATGGCTAAAGAAATAGCATTTTCTATTTGAGTAAACCATTCTTTTCCTTTAATAACATTTTCATCTCTAAACACAAGGAATAAGTCATTATGTTTAGACAATGTTTCTCCATAAAGTCCATGTTTATAACAAAGTATTTTTTTAACTGCTTCAATCTTAAAACAAAAACCTGGCATTTTAGATTCTCTTACATGGATAGAACATTCGCAAATATTTACTATAGCATAATATTCCATTTTATTCATTTTCTATTCACCATTATTAATCACTTTTTTTATTTTTAAAAAAATTCCTCACCAAAAAAAATTTGAAGGAATATCAGTAGATGAATTTACAAACTTCTTCTGATTCAAAAATTAATAAATAAGGGGTTGTGACAATTACATAAAATTCATACCATTGTTTGGTTAACTCTAATCCTATAAGATTTCTTTCACTGTGTCACAAAAATATCTACAAACCATTCCTGAGAAGTAATGTCCCACGAATTGTTGATCTACTAATCAAATCATCATGAATAGCTACAATTTGTGTTAGTGGCATTTTCTTTTTAGTTGAGGGGTCTAATGCCATAAATGATAAATAGGGGTGTTGATATTGAATACTCATTTTGAATGGATTATTCAGTTATAACTATTCTGTCCCAAAAAACAAAAGAAATTCTTTTTTTTAATCATTAGCTATTCTGTACGTAATATGTGATATATAACAAGTATCATCCAAAAATAAAAAGAAATTTGTCGTTTCATTTGATTGATAAAAAGTTGATTTAATCTCATTGTAAAGGTCTAAATCATTTAAAAAAAAACATCGAAGAATATCTACACTATCTTAACAAGCTAATTTATTACCAAAATAAATTTAACACTTAAAAACACAAGAAAATGAATAGAAAAAAGTAGTTATCTATAAAGAAATATAATTTAAGGACTAAACCCACAACTAAACTAAAAGATATTTTAATCTCATTGAGTCATTATAATTAACCAAAAACTAAATAAGGATATAAAAAAAAATAAAATTGAACAAAATTTCTCTGATTATAAAAAGAAAAATTTATCAAGGAAGATTATAACTGGTAACAAATTTTTCTAAGAAAGATAAATTTTCAATTATCTACATTAATTATCTACCAATTAATTCATAAAAGATAAATACTGGAATGTGATATGAAAAAGATTAATAAAAAAACAAATGGGCTTCCAATTTTATCAAGTTATTGAAGATAGTTTGAGTTAACTTCATCTTTTGTTGAAAAACTATTAAATAAACTTTTAGAAGTATCATTAAGTTTTAGAATTAAGTAAGTTCTTCTTCTGATTTGATAGAAAATTGTTATTAAATAAAATAGATTAAGAATTTCTAATTTATTACAAAATAGTTATATTATTCCACCAAAACAATTAATGGTCTTCATCTAATAAAATATAATTCTTTAGCTCTTCCACTGAACTAACAACCTTTTTACTAATAGCAGTAATTTTTGGTTTAATTAAATCATGACCTTCACCATAAACAGTCCCAATACTATCAACTCCAGATTTTTTTGCCATAATTAAACCATGAGATAAATCATCAATAACCACAACGTCTTTCTTTTGAAGATGAAATTTATGTAGAATATCTTCTATTGGGAAGGTAAATGGTTTACAATATTCAGGGTGTTTTGAATCATATCCATAGATTGAATCAGGTATGATTTTTCCTTCATTATAATTTTGATAAAAGTCTTCAATCACTTGTTTTAATCCATGAGAACATATGCAAATAATACCTCCTCTTCTTTTAAATTCTTTAAGAAATTCCCAAAAGCCATTGAACATTATTGGTGTATATTTCTTATAACATTCTCGCCACTCAAAAGAAATATTTTCTAATTCTTCATCGGTTAGTTAAGAACATGACAAGGA